TCAAAAGATAGTATCCATTAACACTGAGATCTGAAAAATTTAAATTAAAAAAGTTGTGTATAATTGCTTGACAAGTTGCTGATCTAAATAGACAAAGGTATTTTTTATCATCCCCCATTATTGCATTTGCTTTTGATGAACATGTTACTTTGTGTTTCTTTATTTCAGTGATGTATCAAAATTTACACCAAGATCAAGCTCATTTGTCAAATTGTTAATTTTTGATCCATTAACTGTGTAATTGAGTTTATGTTGTTTTTACCATAATGCATAACCATAAATTTACTCTCGCTCAGTTTGATTAACCATTTTTCTGACCAGCCTAGTATATTATTTAAATCTTTTTTAATTAATTTAGCATTCTCAATTGAATTTACTGCTGATAAGATTTTGGTGTCATCTGCATATATTTTTAAAGTGCTTTTGATCTCTCTTGTATGTCATTGATGTATGCTACAAAAAGAAATAGCCTTAGAATATATCCCTGTGGAACACCACCTAATATGTATCTCAATGTTAACGCTGCACTATCTTGAACTACTCTTTGTATTCAATTATTCAAAAATGCATTAATTCACCTTAAAAAAATTCCTTTTACTCCATATGCATTTGATTTTGACATAACTCACTTGTGTGGCACAGTATTAGATGTTTTTGCAAAACCTAGCATTATAACATCTACAGGTATATTTTTTGATAAATTGTGTGTGATAAAATCAAGAGTCTCTAAAAGATTTGTGGTACATAATTTCTGTTTCACAAAACCATGTTGGCACTTTATGATCAGATTGCAGTTGTCAAAAATATTTTGTACTATATTTCTTATAACTCCTTCAAATATTTTGCATGCTATTGACTTAAATTAATAACTTTTTGTTAGTTAAATTAACTAACAAAAAAAAATACTTTCGCCTTAAAAAACTTGAAGACAAATGTTAAACTTTTATAAACAAACATGGTCAAACAACTTACATTTTTTTGTTATTTATATTTTGTAACAAAGCTGTCCAGTCTACCTAGGATAGTTTTCAGCTTGTGTTCATATGAAGAATTGTCACTTCGCCTAACCGGGAACCCAGTAGTATATAGAAAAGATTTCATCTGGGCAGGGTGAATAATTTTACATATGAACACAATGTTAAATCTGTATTAGTTTTAAAGGAGAGGCAAGATCTATGTAGTTTTTCTATCCCAGTTAGGTGAGATTATATTTATCCATATGAACAGCCATTTAGCTGAAAGCAGTTAACATCTGCCTATGGATGCAGTTAACATCTGCCCATGGATGCAATTAACTGCCCGAGATGAGTAATTTTGTCAAGACTCCATCTCTAGCTTACTCAATCAAGACCAGCAAGGCACGGAACTATTTAAGTCAGAGTTTGTTTCTCCTAGTCTTTGCTTTAAAAAGCAAACCATACAAGGCAGCAGGGCATGGGGCAGGGAGTATGATATTACACATTACATGATACCAGTAGCAGGGTGATTGTAATGATTCTGAACCTGACCTGATCTGAAGTAGTCAAAAGTAGTTACTTTCTGTAAACATTAATTGAAAACATTAAACAAGATATTTTGGAAATGCATTAGGAAAAACACTACATCTAACAAATATTAGAGATTAAGATGAGCAAAGGTGGAGTCGCTAGTTAGTTACTGAGCTCACACTGTAACAGAGATTTAAAGAGAACACAAATATATATAAATTAACTTCTGAGTAAACCAACACTGTAACAAGGGTTTAAACAGAACACAAACATACATGAAGTAACTTACAGGTGAACAAACAATCGTTAGTTACTTTATGTAATAAAGTAACTTATGTAATAGATAAATAACTTATGTAACTTTTTGTAATTAAGTAACTTATGGGTATAGTTGGAGGTATCTTAGTTACCAAATGTAACTAAGATACTTATAGCTATATAAAAAACACACACACACAAAAAAGCAAAATAAATAAAATATATATACATACATATATATTCAGTGCTTTTTTTCTCCTAAAACGCACCAGAACGGCAATCCGGCACCTTTTTTATTTATATAAAATTTTTTTTCCCCGTATTATTAATGAACTTAGTTTTTAAATACTTAACTTTTAATTCCATAAAAACTGATCAAAATTCTTTTAAAATTACTAATGTTAAAAAAAAAGTTAAAAGTACAAAAGTGAGTCATAAAGATGGTAAAAGAAGCTAAAAAAGAGACTTTTTCAAACAATATTTTAAAGTTTTTAATGCGAGAGAAAATTTTCACAGCAAATTCTGATTGGTGAATTCATTTCACAGCCCATTACACAGCACCGAATGTACACTATCAGTGTCAATTTTACATCTGTTGTTCTCAGTTTACTAAATATTGTATCTTATATTAGATGCTAAGTTCTAGAGACTTTTGATTAGTCTTCAACAATGTCATTAACTAAAGTCTAACATTTATTCTCTAATTCATGGTTTTGATCTTTTTACTTCTCCCCAGAATAAAGCAGAGGTATTTAAAAAGAAATCTTACTATAATTTGAGTCTTGAAAATCATGTCTTTCTTCCAGTCAAACAGATTAACCCATTGTTAAACATACAAATCACTCTTGCTTCCAATGCTAAAGTTAATTCTCAATTAAACACTTTTACAGTTTGTTCTTCAGACAAGATTTCCATCGTAGTCTTAAATTTTAAGTGTTCTCCAGTACTCTCTTTAATTTTTGCTAAATTTTTAAAAAGTGCTAGTTAGTGGTTCCAAATTTTCAAAACTCTAGAAAATACTTTAACCTTTCCAACTATCCTATGATTAGTCTTCACCGTGTTATTAGTTTCTTTATATAAAGCTTTTGAGATTATTAAACTATTGCTTTCTAACTGCAGTACTAAAGTTATTCTTGAAACCATACAGTCTTCTTTATTTCAAGTAACTTTAAGGGTACCACAAGGTACTATCTTTGCTTCTGTATTGTTTCTTATCTACAATATCAAACTTCATGAAAATTTTAAATCTAAAGTGGCTCTATTTGCTGATTTGATGACTCAACTTTATACTTATCTTGACAAAAAAATCTTCACTTTTTGATTGCTTAGAACAAGCAGACAATTTTTAATCTGATCTCTCTGGGTTTTGGATTTATATTCTGGATTTAAAATCCACAACTTTTTTTAGATAACAAAACTTATTTATTTACTACAAAAAAAATATCTCAATATTGTTGGCATTCCTATACTGATGAATAACGACTCTTACTCTCAGACAGCAAAACTAATAGCGTCGTTTAGAAGTTTTTTGTTTATGGATGGGTAAAAATTGACAATATCAAAAATAAAAAATTTATATTATTTATATTATTTATAAAAAAATTTATATTATTTATAGAGTCACAGTAAGCACATTGTAAATAAAATTGCTTTATCTGGCCAAACTTGAGCCACTCTCCCATTATTGTAAGGTTGCATTTCTTTCTTTTTTCTACAAATACCATCATGGTAAATGCTCAAACGAACTATTATTTCTAATAAGATAAACTAAAACTCATTCATTGCTTGGCTTTTTATTCAACAAGTTGCATCATTTTACTTCATCTGCTTTTCATGCTAAAAAAGCTTTTATTAATCCAGTATTTTTCCTTGCACAAAAAACCTTATAACTCATAGCCATCTTCATCTTTTTCTTTTATATACAACCTAAAACTTTTTAAGTCTTCAGTTAACCATTTCTGTATTTTTACTTTTCTATTTTAAAATAACTTATAACTTAATAGTGATTGCTTATAATCTTGTTAAAATTATAAGTAAATTAGAGTTGAAAATATATAAATATATGCCAGTATTTAATAAACAGTAAATGTAAGCGTAATATTATAATATAACTTATTAGTATAATTATAAGTATAAATTTTTTTTCTAGCTCCGGCTATTAACCCCTGCTAAATGTTAGTTTTGCCAGGGCCAGGATTGAAAAAAGTCTCATTTTTAGCAGAAGACGGGGCTCCGGTCACTTACTAAACATAACCTGACTTGACAAATAACCTGACCTACTTTTTTCTACTTTTTACTAGTTTTTTCTATAATTTTTTTTTCTTTATTGTGTTAATTGAACTAAACTAATTTGTTATGTTAATTAGATTGAATTAACTTAATTCATACAATTTTCATCTTTTGTTAGTCTTTTGTTAGTCATTGTTTTGTAAGTCTTTTGCTAACATTTTTTAAATTTCTCTTCCATCTTCTTTACTTTCTAGTAAAACCTTACACAATTTTTAAAAAAATGAAACAAATTTATTTTAACAAGTTTGACCGCTATTTAAGTTAGAAGTGACTGAAAAATAAAGAAAAATGGTTAACAGAACAGGTTAACAGACTTAAAGTGCTGTAAACTGTATGAATATGAAAAGCATAAATTTGGGGTAGAATTCCAAAGCCCTGATGTTTGATAAAAAAAATTAAAAAAAACTATATAAATAAACAAGAGGCAAAACTTAGAGTGCAACACATGTTTTGCTGTTAAACCAGGTCTGACTATGTTTACAACAAAAAAGAGTTAACATTAAACAAACTAGTCTGACTATGACAACAGTATTCCGTACATAAATGGATAAATTTTCCAAATTTTGTCAAGAGATAAAATAGTAAATAAAAAGCACTTTTAAAAACTTTGAATCCATTTTACTTATAAAAATTTTTATAAAGTTTGTTGATTTTCACGAAAAAATTTTTGACACATAAAACAAATCAAAAACACAAATTGTTAATTTATTTGTAAAATGACAATACTTTATTGACACCCAACTGTTAAAATCAATTGGTCAATTTATATAATAATTTGAAAAAATACATGTTGATATGTTACACTTATTATATATGCGTTATAAACACTATACGTGAATATATGTCACATTTTGATATATGTGTTTTTATATGCTGATATATGTGTTAAAAATATGCGCTGACATTCAACACAATTTTACAGCTTGTAATAATATAAGCAATAAAAAGAAACTTAAAAATCATTACTAATGAATCCTGGTTAAAATTTCTACCACAATTGTCGCAAGGTACAAGTGTTACAGAATAATCATCTTCTTCATCATCTAAAAACACATTAAGTTCGTACTTTAAATTTTACATAAGACACAAATAAGTTTTTAAAATTGTTTGTAAAAGATTAACTCTTAAAGTTGTTAAGTTTCACTTAGATATTTTTACTAGTATCTTTTTTTTTTAGTTTGGTTTTTTCTGAGAGCCCCTTTAGAAACACCATGCAAAATAATTGTTAACAAAATAAAAACGACAAAACAGTTGTTGGTTTAAAAAAATGCAAAAATATGCATCAAAGAACTAGACCGAGCTGTCTAGCCCAAGTGAAATAAGGAAAAAATTAGGAACAGCGAATGGATAAAAAAATAAAATTAAAAAGATATTTTGAACAGATGTTCAGAGCAAAACAAAGATACTAAAGTAAAGTGTATATTAAAAAATTAATAATGATAATTTAGACATCGCATATGTAAAAGAAATTAAAAACTCATAATGGAAAATCATAACCAACACGCAAAGTATAAAGAATACGAAGATAAAATATTAAGCTTAACATAGTATGCTGAGAGTGGGAATTGAACCTGGAACTCATGGATTATCAGGCCAATGCTCTAACCGATCAAGCTATAGATGTTGATATAGATAAAAGATAAGCATTAAAAACATAATAAAATCAACAACAAAATTAAATGACAATGAAATAAAATAGTGTACAAACAAAGTAAAGACACTGAAAGTAAAGTACTGAAATATGTATATATATATATATATATATATATATATATATATATATATATATATATATATATATATATATATATATATACACATACATGTATACATATATCAAGCCTTCCCAGGCAAAGCGTGCGGTTTTCTTTCTCGTACGACCACAAAATCGTTTTTCAAGTTAGGGAACGTGACAACGTCCGTTTGCGCAAGTTATAATATATGCGTCACTGAAAAATTGTTTTAAATTTAATAACTGCATAAGAAATTAAAGTAAACTTAAATAGAAAACAATAATAATAGTTTAAATAATTTGTTTGTTGTTTTTATTTTTCTTTTTTTCTTAGTGGTTATTATTATCGGCAACAAAATTCATCAAGTCGAAGCAAAAAAAAAAATGGTTTTAGGGGTTAAAAAGGATGACTTTCCCATATTTTATGTGTTTTTTCTTTTAAAGAGAAAAGAGAAAATATGTATGTTTGTAAAACATATTTGTATAATTATAATGTAACAAACTTATATCAAGAGTTAAATTATACGATCGCGTTTGCAAACTCTGGTAAAATATTAGGTCTTTAAAATTTTAGTTTATGCAAAGCTGTGTACTTTGTTTATAAGGAGCAAATTATTAAAAGTTTCCTAGCAAGAAAGTTACAAAAAATAAAACAAAAACAATAAACTTATGACTACAAAAGTAATAACACTTTAGTCACTAACTGCATTATAAAAGTAATAAAACTATAATAGTGTTATTACATTTATATAGCACTTATTACTTTTAAAGTTCATTCTTAGTTCAAACAACATTATTAATTCCAAACATTTATTAAAGTAGAAAAGCATCTGGAAAAAATAAAGTGGATATTCAAATATTATTAAAAATTTCAGGAACTTTCACATATCACTTAAACAACGTTATAAAAAAGTACTTTATAAAAAGTACGTTATAAAAGTATTAACACTATTATAGTGTTATTACTTTTGTAATACAGTTAGTGACTAAAATGTTCTTACTTTTGTAATCGTAAGTTTATTGTTTTGTTTTTTATTTTTTCGCTAACAAATTTAAGTTGATTCTCCCCTTATAAACAAGGAACACGGTTTTGTATAAACTAAAATTTTTAATGCTAGATATTTTTCCAGATTTTGCGTTTTGCATTCGCTTAATTCAATCCTTGTTGATACATTAAAACTATCAAAATAAATTTTACAAACACATTGCAATTTTTATTTTTACTATACTCTTAAAAAAAATTAAGAAAAGGAAAATCATTCTTTTTATTGTAGACTTCAAACTTTTTTTTTTTTGCTTTGCCTTATCTAATTTTGTTGCTGAATGTAACTCTAAAGAAACAAAAATAAAAACAGTACACAAATTATTTAAATTATTAATTTGTTATTATTTTTTTCTATTTCAATCTCTTTTTATTTAGTTAGTTTTGTTTTTTTTGTTTTATGAAACTTTTTCAGCATTATTATAAAACTTGCAAACGGCCGTGTTCACGTTTTCTAAAATAATCAAATCGTGTGTGTCATACGAAACAAAAAACCGCACACCTTTCCTGGGAAGGCTTGATATATGCACACATACATACCCATACACTAAGGACCAGCGAATACTTGTTAAAATTTGGATTACAAAGTTTACTGAAAGACAAAGTTGACTTCGGCTTTGACTTCGGTGCCAAAGTTGAAATAGAAATTCCGCTTTCAGTCAAATTCGGTAACAATTTCAAAATTTCATTTAACTTTCAGTTAAATTCGAAAGCTATAAAATCTTTTTCAATTTATAAAAAAGAATTATAAAATATATTATATGTTTTATGTATATCAACCTATTTCTATTGGTTACAACCCTCTTTTAGAGTTGAGAGAGGGCTGTAACCATTATAAAAAGTAGCTTCCTCGACTAAAGTGGCCCACTCAATTTTTGGAACATGAATTAGGTAAAAAATAAAAAAATAAAAAATCGTTCATGTTTGTTCAAAAACATTAGGAGTTGTAAAGATCCCATAACTTAAATGTTCATTATAACTGATTTTTTTAGATTTATTTTGACGCAAATTGTTTTTTGTAAGCGTATACTTTTTTAATAAATTAAAATTTACTTGGTTTCACTTATTCTATGTTAAGTTTTAAATTATGGTTAATTACAAGCTAAAAAATAACAACTTTAGTTTATAAAAAATGATTATACAGTAACCGCTGCGCAGTAGTTAGAGAGCTTGCTTTTGAAGCAATAGACCTTGGATTTAAAGCAAGCTCTAGGCATATTTTGCACCATCGATAAGAAAAAAAGTTTGAACTTACTGGTTAAATACTTTTTTTTGTTAAATTTTGTTATTTAGGTGTCCCAAGAAGACCTAACGGTCTTGTCACAGATCAGAATATAAGTTATTAGATTCAAAATGAGAGATTATGTGTTTGTTAATGAAGGACTCAAAAACCTTGCTTATGATAGGAAGAAGAATAATGGGACAGATATCTTTCCACAATTTTTGAAAATAGGGATAACAGATGTTGCTTTCCAGCAGGATGGAAAGCAAGACTCTGATAAGCACTTGGTAAATAGTTTTAAAATATAGATGGCAGCTCCAGAAAACACTTCTGCAAAACTATAACAGGTATGTTGTCCAGACCACAAGATGAGTCTAAGCAGGAAATCATTTTAGATACAGAAGCTGGAGTGATACAAATGTCAAGCAACGGATCAAGCTGATTGTCAGCTATATTAGGTAGGATGTGATCAACGTAATCAAGAGATAAGATTGATGAAAAGTTCTTAGCAAACAATTCAGCTTTGCCGTTAGGTAAGGCAACAAAATCTGAACTTAGCAAGAGAGGTGAAATAATATATTGGCCCTAATTATAAACACTTAAAGGGATCCCAAACTCCCAACACATGTTGTGTTCATATTAAAGATAATGTTAAAAAAAAAGGTTTGAACCAAATTTTTTTGATTAAAAATAAATAATGAATGCATACCGAGAAAAACAAATGTTGTTGTTTTTGCCGAAGCTCGTCTTCTCCATTTTTTTCAACTAATCAGAGTCTTTAAATTATGCGTCGCAATCTACAGACTTTGGCAATTCCTTTGAAGCGCGTTTAATTCATAAAAGTTTTAGTATTTGACGTCAAGGTAGACTTTTAACAAAAGAAAAGTGTAATTAAACTAAGCTGCGTTTTTCTACTTTAGTATTTTTTTAACATACAGCAAAACAAATTTATTTGTATTATTTTTCTAAACATCGCAAAAAAAATTTTGTAAAAAGTAAAAACAATAAATTATTTTTATTTTATAGGAGCAACTTATTTTTTACAGATATCTTAATAATTTTTAGATTTATATATCTTACTTATATTTCTTTAATTACTTAAATTAAAACAAATATTAAAGCTTTACTTACCAATCTCATGATTTTCATACAAGTATTTTACATTATATAGAACGTTTTATATACGGTCTCTTGTTTTAGCGCAAGAGAGCGCAGTATTATATATTCTGATTCTTAATTATTTTTATTTAAACAATGGGAACTATTTTCTAACTTCTCTGGTTATTTTTACGCTATGACAATTTTTTGTTTTCCCGTTGAAAAAAAGTATTTATTAACAATTACTTTCATAAACTAACAGTATTAATTAGAGATATTGATTGAATTGTTAACTTTTTTTATTATAAAATTATTTTGATCACGCTGATTTAATTTAAATTGCTAAATTTGCTGAATTGGATACGGATAAAAAGGAAATACCATTTTATTTTACATTTGATTTTTGATAATGAAATTTTTAAAATGTCAGCAACTCCATACCAATTAGAACCTGTTAAGATAATGAAAAAAAATACAAGAATACACTAAACAATAGTTTAGTGTATTCTTGTACTTTTTTTTTAACACTTGACAGTAGTATCAGATATGAAAATTCGTGAAAGGATATGTGAGATCCTGATTTTGCATTAAAAGTACAATTAATTGCAACACAAGTCGGCATTATAAATTTTGATTATGAGTTTACTGTTCAATATTTTATAACCATCAAATAAAAAACATGAAGTTTGCATATTTTTGCCCGTTTTATACAACTAATATTTAACCAAAATACGGACAAATTATTATTAAATAACGCAATAATTAACACATTAATTAAAGGCAATAAATCAAGATAGATGGTAATTTAAATTGTTAAAATGTCATAACGCGCATTAAAAAACATATTATATTTGGTATTTCCAAATTTGTGTCGTAATTGGCATTTGTCTCTTAACATAAAAAATTAAAAATTTTTAAAAACACAATTAACAAATACAAATTTTCAAGCAATTTTCTCTTCCAATTCTCATTTATTCAAAGAAAATTAAACTATTAAACTTATTTTTCTCTCATCTAAAAAAAGAACGAGTGACGCAAAAAATATATATATTCTTTACAACTCTTATTCATTCAAAGTTTAATTGCGCGAAACTTTTCTTTCTCTTTTGTTTTCTACTTTTTTATAAAAAGAGCGTCCGATGAAATAAAAACTTTTATTTTTTAATATATAATTATAGTTTGAGATAAAATTAAATTAGAAATAAATCAACAATGAACAAAGCGTTGCTTTGCTCAGATTAAACTGTATTACAGATTAAACTGGAACAGATTAAACTGGAACTATTTTGATATTTATGAAAATAATCAACAGAAACAACATTACCAACAACAGTTATCAAATAAATAACACAATCTCGCATAATTTTAGAGGCAATTTATTTTTATTGCTTAGTCGTTCTAAATAATAAGTAAATTTAGTTCAAGTTAATAATTCAATATTTACAGTTGCAATATAATAAAGAAATGGTGTTTAATACTGAACTTTTTATTTAGTTATTTATTTTTTTACCTACATTTGTTATAAAAAATTTTAGAACCCCCGTCATTAAAATAATTTATTTTAAATATATTTCGACGTGATTATTCAAACTAATTTTTTTCGTTTGACTTTCCGAACTTCATGCAAAGCAAATTGAAACGAAATATCGTCTAACCAAATAAAAAAGCTGTTACTAATTTTATACGGGTAATTAATGTAAAACAATTTTTGAGATAATAAATATTCATAATTTATAAACATTAAATATATGGCGCAATAACAATTTATAGCAACGAACCAGCATAAAAGATTTAAGGTTTTTAATATCTTTTTAAATATTAAAAGTAGAAAAAAAAAAAAAACTAAACAAATAACCAAAAAAACTTCGACTAAAAATAAATAAAAATATTTCCAGAGTTTCTTTTGGTCAAAGTCTACCGTGACGCCAAATACTAAAACTTTTATGAATTAAACGCGCTTCAAAGGAATTGCCAAAGTCTGTAGATTGCGACGCATAATTTGAAGAGTCCGATTAGTTGAAAAAAATGGAGAAGACGAGCTTCGGCAAAAACAACATTTGTTTTTCTCGGTATGCATTCATTATTTATTTTTAATCAAAAAAAATTGGTTCAAACCTTTTTTTTAACATTATCTTTAATATGAACACAACATGCGTTGGGAGTTTGGGATCCCTTTAAAGATTTTCCAGAAGTCCCTGGAGTCTAATTTTTGAGATGAAATATGAAACTTTGTGACCTGAGAATAGCAGGCTTTGCCATTAGACAAAATCTTTTTACAATAGTTTCTAGCAATAGTAAACAGATGTCTATTTTATGGAGAATTGTTATAGCAATGAATATGGAACCAATGGTTATGATTGAAAATTGCAGCAACAAAATGAGAGGAAAACTATGGAAAAGAATGAGGCTTAATTTGGAATCGATGAGAGTGAATTAAAGATTCCATGCCAGCCTGAATCCAAGAAGTTACATATGAAGCGCATTAGTTAGCAGAAATACGGAGGTGATAAAGTGACGTGGTGCTAAATGAAAGCACATAAAAGAATGGTCTGTGTACTCAAATGTTTCCCAACAAATAGAAAATTTTTACAAATGTAAATGGCCAGATCAAGCCAGCCAATGTTACAAAGACCTACCCAACATTACCCAGCCAACATTACGAATGCAAATGACCAGGCCAATATTTAACTAGATAGTTTTATTTTTGTTTCAATTACTTTTTGGGATTGCACAGCAAATACAAATATAAATTTGGCTCATTATTTATATATTATCAAAAGATTAATAAAAAATTATTATGAAAGTAAAAATAACAGCAATATAAAAATGATTAAATAAAATAACAACTAATTTTATTGATAAAAACTTATATTCTTATAACTTATATTCAGATTTAGTCAAGAAGCGTTAAGCCATTTGGATTTTATGTACGAAATGATGATTTAACGTACGCATTAAGTGGAGCAGATTATGTAGAAAACATTCAGCTGTTGTAAAAAACATTTGCGGAGCAGTTTATGTAGAAAACATTCAGCTGTTGTAAAAAACATTTGCAGAGTATTTTTTTTATTAGGTAAAAAAACAGCTAGATAAAGAAACTTTTTTCTATGTTCCATTTTTCAAAAAAAAAAAAAATTTAACTTTATTGAATTTAAATTAATTTTTTTAAGAAATATTAACAAATATAAATTTATTTTATTAAATTTGATTCAAATTCTTTTAAAAATTTTAAAACTCCCTTCTACAATTTTTTTACTGCTAAAATTTCCAAACTATGTTAAAGTAAAATTTAATTCAAGTTAATTTAAAATGTTTTTTTTTTAAATGTAAAAACTTTTTTTTTAACATTTCAGTTTTGAAATTGCTTTTTAACAAAAGTTTTTTCATCATCATTATTTTTTGAACTGATCATAGACTATTTCATGAAATAGATAATTTCTAATCAACTGAACGCTGATTAGAAATAATTAACTTGTTAATCCGTAGTATGCAAAGATGTTAAAGCCAAAATGTTAAAAAAAAAAGTTTGAAAAAAATTTTTTTTGACTGTTAAATGAGATCCCCATGTACGAAGACAAGTTGTGTTCATATAATAAAAAGCCCTTGAAAAATAAATTTCATGTTAATCAAACTTTCCAGAACAAATTATTTATCAAGATATTAGCAAAAAGCTTTACAATTTTTAATGTCATTTTTTTTTTTTAACTGGTCTGATTAAATGGGCTTTTGTAGTTCATAAATGAAATCAATACAAAAAAGTTATTTCAAATAACTTAGATAAATGAACAAGAGTTATGTATATTGAATGTTATGTTTGGGTTTTCCCTTTGCAGTTAATTTTATATAGAAGAATGTCTTTATATATTTTATAAAACAAACCAAACTTATAACACATTTTATAAAACAAACCAAAAATAACACGATCAATAAGTAAATGCTTTAAAAGCATAACTTATATTTATTTAACTTTAAAAACAAAACTAATATTAGTGCTATAAATATGAGATATGTAAATTTCAAAAATATGCTGATATTTGTTAAAAACAAGTTCTGCTAATAATATCTTAAAATCGAAAACACTATTATTTTTTTGGATTCAGTAAGAAATAGTGATAATATATTAGGTTTCATGGTAAATGAAAACGAAATATTTTAATGGAAACAAAATAAAAAACAAAACAGAAAATCAAGCATTTTTATTTTGTCAAAAGTCACTAGTTAAACTAAAATGATTTAGGTAGCAGGAATATTTTTTTATAAAAAGGGGGAAAACCTAGTTTAATTGTGTAATTGTGTAAACCGTTTAAAAAACTCTGTGGTAAGTACATTTAAATTCCTTTAATAAATTTAATCATAGACAATTGTTCCTTCATTTAAAAAATAATAACCATAAAGGGGTCATCCATAAATTGTCACACAACTTTTGACCAATTTTGACCTCCCCTTCCCCCTCGTCACACAATTTTAACACTTAAGTAGCAAGTTTTGCATGAACCGTCACAAAACCACTAACCCCCCTCCCCCAATAGAACATGACATAATTTATGGACGATCCCAAAGACAAATGTTTTAAAGAAAGAAAAAAAAGTTTAAATAAGTATAATATTTTAAAATAATTTTTTTTCTTTCAAACAATATTTAAATTTTATAATTTTTTTTATAACAATATTGTTTAATTTAAAGATATTTTACTAAGACTTAAATTTTTATAAACACTAACAACAATTAATGTGATTTCAAATTAAATTTTTATAAACACTTACAACAATTTTTAATGTGATTTCAAATTAAATTTTATTACAATGCTGTACTTTAAAATATACAACTGACATAATTTAACTTTTAATGATGTAAATATCTTTGAGTAAAGTTACATTTAATTGTGTTAGGTTTTTCTGTTATGCAACAAAATCTCATAACAAGGCCTGCAAATTCATTGCAAACCTAGACAAAATGTGATATAAAGTAAGAAATTACACAATATATCATCCAAAAATTTAAATTATGTTTCATCTTTTGTTAACAAGATTAACAGTTTTTTTATTTATTTAAAAAATCCAACCACTTTATCGATAAATAAAAAAACTTGTTAGTAAAGATAAAACAAAATTTTAAAATTTTGTTTTATCTTTACTAACAACAACAAAAAATTATAATAGAACAAACATGACTTACCATAAAAATTATTATCCTCTTCATAACTGCTATCTTCGGACATGGTTGAACTGTTATTTATTACCTAAACAATAGCATTATTAGTCTGGTATTATTCTGTGCTTACATAAAATTATTGTCCTAATATTTTAATCATTTGTAAAATAAAAATTTTGATTTTTTATATACAATATGTCAAAAAAGTCTATCACCTGATAATTTTTCAATAAAAACAAACTTTTGTATGTGTAAACTTAAATTTTTTACCCCAATTTTTTTTTAATATTAAATTTATTTTAAATAACATTTTTATAACTTTTATTTTTTTATAAAAAATTCATATTTTTATACTTGAATTAAAACAAATCCATTGAATCATAAAAATTGTAAATCAAAAACTTTACCCCCTCTTATCCTTTTTTTATTTTTCTTTACATCACCCACTCATCCTTTTTTTACTTCTCTTTATATCACCCATCATCCTTTTTTTACTTTTCCTTACATTACCCCCTCATCTTTTTTTACTTTTTTTTTAAATCACCCAAGTAAAATTGCAGAGATAAAACCTGTAAACAAATAAAATTAGCTTGATTGAAGATATTCAAACTAATTTTTTAGTAAAAAAGTAGCTTCGTAGCTCTTGATAAAAAAAATCATGGTGAAAAGAAATGAAATTCATAAATCAGTAAAAAAATTGATATTGGAATAATAGAAAGGCAGCCTGGAAATGATATAAAACTCAAATATTAAATGTTAAGCCTAATAATGTAGAAAAAATCATTAGAAAATACTTAAAAATAGGTGCAATCAAAAATTTGAAGAAAAAGACACCAAGCTAAGACTACCTTACCCATTAATAGAGAAACTATTCAGAAGGTTGAACAAGATCAAAGACTATTTGCACCGAAGGTAGAAAAGATTTACAAAAAGATCATAGTATAACTGTAAATCCTCAAACTGTTTGCAATTGCTTAAAAATCCAAGATTTTGTAAGTAGATGTGCCCCAAAAAAACTTTTCTTGAGTAAAAAAAATCAAAAGAAACAATTGGCTTAAGTTAAGAAACATTTGAATTGGATTCTCGACCAATGGCGGAGAGTTTATGGTCCAATAAAGCAAAAATATGTTTGTTTAGTTTAGAGGGTATCGCACGTAAATGGAGAAAAATTGGTGAACATTTAAATCTTAAATGTATGACCAACTGTCAAAACTTTCATGAGGTACCATTAAGCTTTATTTTTTTAATTATTATAATGTTTCAATATTTTATATGTTATGAAGGAGGTACCATTAAGCTTTATTATAAGGTTTCAATATTCTATAAACTTCTAACTTTTTTTTTCCTTTTATAATTGGATGAATGATGGTTTGGGGTTCTTTTGCTTGGAATTGTGTTGGCAAACTTGAATTCATTGACAAAATGGTAAAAGAGGTTTATACTGATATTATGAAACTAAAAACTGAGATCAAGTGCTAGAAGTGCTGGTTTATCTTGTAATTTTATCTTTCAACAGAATGGAGATTTAAAACAAATGTCAAAACTACCTTTTCAGTGGTTCAAAAAAAAAAACAGTATTAAGATGTTAGATTGGGTTCCTCAGCCACCAGATCTAAATCCGATAGAAAATTTATGGAATCATTTTAAAATTAAAGTAGCTGAACAAAAACCACCCAATTTGTCTCAATTCAAGGTTCCCACTATTAAAACTGAGGCTAAAAGTAAGTATTTTAAGGAGATTTAAGGAGATATTTTCCTAATATTTAAGGAGATTTGGTCGCAAATGACAATTTGCGACCAAAATGAAAAAAAAAGTAATGAGAATTAAGGAGAAAACAATTACATTAAAAACAGAATATTATTTTTTTAATAAATTTTAAATATAAACAGAGAAATTATTATAAATTAATATATTACTTTATATATATATTAGGGGTATGACTAAAAAACATATTTCATTTTTTTGGAAATAGCATAGCGGCAAATAATGAACTTTTACTTGTATTAACTTAAAATAATAACACTTTTTTCCAAATCGAAAAAAAAACTCCCCCACCAGTGCAGATGAAAATTTGGTCCCAGCTGTCTAAAAATGCAAAAAATTTAAGTTTTTGCATTTATAGTAGGGGCAGGGTCACTTAACAAAATTTCAAAAATACCATGAGAGTTATTTTCGTAGCTTGATCTATCTATTTTTAGATTATATTTTGTTTTTTGGTAAAAATGATGGGAAGAGTTGATCTTAACCATTTGCAATCATGTGTGTTTGAGAGGTTGGGGGGGCTTTTTTTAATTATGTTCATTAAATATAAAATATTTTCGTAATTGTACATTTTTTATTTAAAGAAAGACTGTTTTATAGTTTTTATCCAAGATTTTTTATCAGTTGTTTTAAATTTTAAACAATTATAAGCTACAACCATTAAGTTTGCTTCTCCATCTACTTTAGTTTCTAAAAGTTTCTATGAGGTCTTGACTAGAGTTAGAAGCACGTTCCGCACTGCAATGTAGATTTTTTATTTTTCATTAAATAAATCTTCCTCTTTTAAAACCACATTTTTGCCTTATGCTTTTTAAGTCAACATTCTTGCCTCTAAATGGCATATCAAAAGTAAAAGAATTCATGAAAAGATATTGCAACTAAAAACATTTATATATTGATACTTTTATCATAAAAACATATTAATATATTATTAAGTCAATTTAAATTTGGAATGAATTGTAAAATTATAAGCATACTATAATGTAGTAAACATCTGATATGTTAGTCAGTATTTTCTTCACCTAATAATGGTATGTATGGTATGCACATGATAAATTTTTTTTGGGAGGTGGGTGGGGGAAGGGAAGGGGGGGTTCCAAAAATCATACAAACGCCTACAAAATGGGGAGGTGGTGTTGAAGACAGTGAGCACATACGCAGTTTGACTATCTCTCCTAAACTTGATTTTTTAACATTTATTTTCACGTGTTTAAAAAATCAGAAATGTGTTTTTTTTCTGATTTCAGTCACAATTTTATTTTAATTTCTTTATAAATAATGAGGAGAGAAAAAAAAATCAAGTTAATTTTGAAAAAAAAATAATGCGTTTGTACGCAGGGGAAGGCTTTTTTTTCAAAAGCATACATGTTCGTAAAAGAGGGGAGGGGAGTCCTAAATCAGAGGTTTTACTGCGTACGTACTTTATGGATGCTCCCTTACAAAAAAATTAAAAAAACTTCACAAAATTCTTTTTTGACTCCTCCCCTTCTCCTCCCACTCTCAACAACCCATTGAAACGTTTCAAAACAAAAGAAGACGGAGAAGCAAACTTAATGGTTGTAGCTTATAATTGTTTAAAATTTAAAACAACTGATAAAAAATCTTGAATAAAAACTAAAAAATAGTCTTTCTTTAAATAAAAAATGTACAATTACAAAAATGTTTTATATTTAATGTACATAATAAAAAAAAAAAGCTCCCGCCCCCCCCCCCCCCCCACCCAATCTCTCAAACACACATGATTGCAAATGGTTAAGATCAACTCTTCCCATCATTTTTATCAAAAAACAAAACATCTAAAAATAGATAGATCAAGCTACAAAAATAACTCTCATGGTATTTTTGAAATTTTGTTAAGTGACCCTGCCCCTACTATAAAAAATTTTTGTTGACCTGTGTAATTCATTCACTTTAATAAAATTTCCTAGATTAAAAAAATAAAATAAAAAAAGGAGAAAATAAAGAGAGCATTTTTTAAGGATATTTAAGGTTTTTAAGGAGGAGTGGGAACCCTGCAATTAAAGGCAATTCTTATTGAGAAGTGGGAAAAATTTGAACAACAATGGCTTAAAACATAGTAGATTCAATGCCTAAAATAAATGATGGAGTTATTAAGGTAAAAAATGCACAAATTGATAATTAGCTTTTTATTAGCAAAATAACTATTTGATTTGATAAATATAAAATTAAAATTTAAAATAAAATTAAAAAATCTACACTATATTAATAACATAATAAATTGTTTATCTGATTAAATTATTACACTTTAAATTATTGCATAATAATTTTTATTTTATGTAATGAGTTATATTTTATACTTTAATTACTTTAATATATTATTCACTTTTGTTTTGGAATTTTTAATTATTGTAATAATTTTTAAAATGCCTGCATTCTATTACATTAAGAAAATATTTTTCTTAATGTAGAACATTTTTTATAACCAGTAAAAACTTTTATAGTTCTTTGTCAAATTTTTTGTCAAATAAATATTGTTAATAAATAAATAAGTTAATAAATAAATGGATAGCTAGTTTGAAAACTCAAAGATAATAATTTCATGACACAAATATTTTCATGGGGCAATAAATGACGCTTGTTATGTATATATTCTTGTAACTTTAACATTACAATGTAGGGGAGAACCTTAATGAATGGGACAATTATTGAATGGGACAAAATCAAATATGCATAGAAGCATCTACGGTTGGCTATCCAAACTCCTGTGGTAATAAGTGTTTGACACAACCATTCAACAGACCAAATCTTTATTTCTATTATGGTCTAAACGTAATGGCATTGGATGTTATTGTGTTTTGAAGAACAATAAGTAATTTTTAAAAACAATTTTCTGTGTCTGATTTTGCAGCGATTACTAAAGTTAAGGAAAATGAAACTCCAATTTTCAACACCCAAATGTCTCTACTTTTTAAATTTGTAAAGTATTTTTGTTTAGGTATTACTGTTTTTAACCTGTCCTGTCATTTGTGGATATAGTGGGAAGCCTATTGAATGGGACAAAGTATTGATTATTGAATGGGACTTGTCCAAACAGCCTGATATGAAAAAAGTAGAAAAATATATTTCGGCAACTTAGTTATGGTCACACATAATTTTATTTTTAAATACGTTTTAATTTGATGTTAAAATGTGGTTCTAAATAAGTGTGACCAATGCTTTAGCTAAAATTCAAAATTGTGTTCATAGAACTAAATCTCTATTAAAATCTTTTCTTTAGTATTCTTTAAAGTTGAGTCGATCAATAGTTTATTAAATGAAATTAATTTTAAATATTTGATTAGATATGTTGATGTATGATATTTATA